ATTAAGAACATATGCATACAAAGCTAGAACTGAGAAGACAGCAACAGACAGAAAATGCTGAAGAAATAGTTGGACCACCTAGTTAGCTGCTGCAAAAAGATCGCACAAGACTGACTAAAAACAACTGTATGACAAAGTAGCAACAATGGTGCATTAGGAAAATCTGCAAGAATATCATTTTTTTGCAAGCAAGGACTGGTAGAACTGTACAATATAGAAAGTAATAGAAAATGAAAAAGCTAAAGTGCTGTGAGACTTTAGAATTTAAGCACACAAGTACCTGCCACATAATATCCCATTCTTAACAATTGTCCATAAGAATTTTTTTTTAAAAAAAGTCTAGACATGGCAGTATCTGGAGACAACAGAAGAGAAAAAAACTGGAGAAAATAATAAAATATAATGACCTGCAAATAAAAGTAGAATGCTGTGGCAAAAGAAAGCAAAGATAGTACCAATAGTAATCGGCACCATAGGTCCAAAACAGTTGGAGCACTACTTGAACACCAGCAGCATTGACAAATTCACCATCAATCAATTGCAAAAGGCAGCTTTACTTGGTACAGCTTACATCCTGCAATGATACCTCTAACGCAGGCATGTCAAACTCACGATGTCACGTGACGTGCAACATATCACTTTTTCCCCATTGCCGGCAATGGGGTGGGCGTGGTTTTGGCGTGACGCATCCGGCCCATGGGCTGGCAATTTGACATGCCTGCTCTAACGCCATCAAACATCCACATCTGCCTATCCCAAATCTTTGAAAGGACTCAGTAGGGGGATAACAATGCCAAATCTGGTCTAAACATCTGGCTGAATAAATACTAGAGATGATTTTTGGGTGGTGTGTTCCTCTTTTTGTTTTCTCCTTTTCCCACTTCCAAATCTTCTTGCCAGAATAAAAGATTTTAATATCTTAGAAACATGCATATTCATGTGCTGTCTGACTTATCCTCAATAGATATTGCTCTGCAGTAATTTTAATCCTAGCTAATATGATTTAGCTTTACTCTTTGGGAAATAAAAATAATTCTGCTTAAATAAATTGTATGCAAACTGACTTTTTCATGATGGGAATCAAGCATCAGTCATCAATTCCTTGCCTTGTTTTAACGGTTATTGGAAATGTTTTCCAGGGGCATACCTCTCTGGTATTGAAATGAGATGGATGATGACAAAATTAAGGGTTTGCCAATGTGTTCTGAAAATATTTTTGAAAAATAGTTTTAGTATTATTTAGGAGGTTGTCAGTGTTTCTCAGGTCATGAATGCAAAGTACCTAATGTAAATAAATATGGTGGCATGAACATTGTTTTTGTCAGGGCTCCCCAACCCCCAGGCCAGGGCCCACTACCAGGCCTTGAGCCCTTCAGAATTGGGCCGCGGAAGTGGTGGATGAGCTTGGGTGCATGCTTGCCCACCGTTCATGTGAACCGTCCCCTCTCCCCCTACACCGGTCCGGAAAGCTGGTAAGGTTGGGGAACTCTGGTTTATGCAGTTACCTTGCAGTCTCAACTTATTTTTCTGTACATAGAAGTATAAAATCTTTCAACCTGCTGTACTGAATATGTATTCTTCTGTGCATTCAGATCAATGGACCAGTAAATAGAAGTTTGTGGGGAAAAACCCCACAATTTTGAAATAATTCTTAAGATTATATTGTAGTTAATTTGACGCTCCTGGATGAAAAATCCCTCTGAACATTTCTAATTCATATTTTGGATACAGAGTCCTTCACAAGTGCAGGCTCAATGCAATTGCTGACTCACTATCCCTAAAGAACGCCCTTGCAGATGTCTAATTATTAGACTATGATCCCTATTCCAGAATGAAATGAACCACTCAATATAAACAAAGTAACCCACACTGTTGAGGCCAACTGATTCACAGTGACATCGTGAGATCACAATACAGCCAAACTTCCACACCTCTTTCTTTAAAATTACAGTCCCTCCTAGAACAGAAACTCCCAATATTGCTCCTATATTTACTTGCTAGGATCTGTTTTCTTAATGTGTCCCTCAATCCATCCTATTATTGATTCTAAGTACTGTTTTGCTGTCAAGAGTCTTCTATAATTGTGATAGGATATAAAGTTGATTAACAATAAAAAAAATTTTTTGCCATTTGCATCTCCTTACAAGAATCAGTGAAACAGCCAAAATTAGAGCATTGTCAACTGTCTTGATTCGGTAATATCAGTGAAATATCCTCCAGCTTGTTAGGGAAATGTTGGAGGAATCTAAGAACCAGGTTGCACCTCCTTGAAGGATACAAAAAAGGAATGCTTTCAAATTACTTAAGGGTAAACAAGCCTCTTAGAAATATAAAAAATTGTCAACTGATCTGTTGCTGTTGCAGAGGTCGGTTTTCTTTTTACAAAATGTGCAACAGTATATTGAATCTTATTAACACAGTATGCTATTAATATTCCTTATCGATTTAAGGAACATTCTGAGCTCTTACGGGAAGCTTTAGAAGTATTTTCACAGCAGCACTCAAGAGTCCCTTTGGGCATTGCAATGTTATTGCCCTGGGATCATTCTAGAATTTTCACATTAGTCCTGCTAGGGTCCCTCTGGGACCAGTCAGGGCACCGTTGCAAGAATCACTTTGAAAAGTATTGCATCTTCAGATCTTTCTGGAAATTGTCCAGTTAGGAGCAAACTGCATAAGCCAAAGGTGAAAGATGGCATATTTAACCTTCTGCAGACAATAGATGGCTATAACATACACAAGACAAGCAAGATGGCTATAACATACACTTGGATTAAGCAAGTGTAACAATCCCAATAATGGGAGAAGAGAGCATCTCTTTCTTCTAATCTCTCAAAAAGCAACTGAAGCTCCAAAGGAAATTCAGACAGAATTAGCCACACAGCAGAAGCAGGGCAAAAAGATTATTTGTCAAGGAAGGAGGAACACCTTCCATCCAGGGTATGCTCTATTTTCCTACAGTAGAGAAGTGTAATCTAAAAACTGAGACGTTAATACAGTCTCTGGAGACGGGAGATGTAATTCTGCAAGAAAAATTAACATGTTCTTTTATAAAAGAAAGATACCTAAAACAATTTAACAACTCTGCATGTTTCTCAAGGGAGCATTAATGGGGGGACTAAAGGGACCATAGTCGTCATAGATTACATAATCTGTCTCTCTGCTGATTAGCAATGAAGTTTCAAAATAAGAGGGATAAATATGGGGCTGGATCCAGCTCAATTCCACGTGGCTGTGGAAACCTGGTCATAAGGTGATCTACCTACATACCTACATAATGAGGAAAAAATGATGCATCTGGATGGGTCTGAATATCTTCAAACTATGCCAAACTATGTCCAGAATAGTATAGTCACAAAACAGCAATGGTAGAATATTGGGAAAGAAAATATTTAATAAAAAAATTAAAGGACACCCAAACAACTACATAGTTAATAAAAGAGCCAATTCTGAATGTAGTAAACAGGTAAAGAGACTGGGCTATATAGGTTACATATACAGGCACACAAAGCTCTGCCAGGCAGACAATATCTGTGGAGTCTCTCAGCCTAGATAAAGTATTGAATAAAGAGATTTTGGCCAGTAACTGAATATTAAACAAGTTTGGGGGTAGGTCAAATCTGCAGATCAGAAAAAGGAATGCACAATTCTTGTTCATTCCCAGACATTAAGTTTTTAACTCTTATCCACCAGTACGAGTGTCTCTTGAAGAAAACAAGCACTGTTACAACACAGTTAAGCATGAACTTTCTCCTGGGGGAGTGGAAGCAGCTTTCTGAATACAGAAAGGAAAGCTGGACTCTTCTGAGGCCTCAGGTCTGATGGTCAATTGGATCTAGCAAAATGCATATTCTCATTCACTAGGCTGTAATAGTCCAGTGATGCTCTGAACCAATATGTTTACAAAGAGAACCGAAAGAACTGTCTAGTGTAGATAACTCCAGATGTGAGAGGGAAGACGCTAAATTGAAAACAATCTCTGACTGATGGAATAAAAACTGCCTCATAGACAAAAAGAGTCAACTGGGAGTCCAGGAGACAAAGAAGACTTTAAACAAAGGTCAAGTAAACTTGCATGCTGTAAGGTGGTAATTATAGCCTGTAAACTGGAGTGATGGATCTGATTATCTATCTGGAAGCCCAGAGCCCAACAAAACATCATTGCATCAGTGGAAAGATATATATTGGCTTGTTTTGTCAGAACTGTAGGAAGTCTGAAAAAGAAAGTGGAGGGCACAAGTTCAAAGTAATATAATTTAACAGAGACAGGTGGATTTAAACAAATATCAAATGCACAGGTACAGCGTAATAATGGTACTGTGAAATTGATTTTGGAATAGTAGTTGATTGGGAACCGAGTATGAACCAGTAATATGTGAACCAGCAAAAAGATGAATGCAACAGTTTATAATCTTCAAATTGTAAGTATAGTGGGTCAGAATGATTAGCATATCCAATGACACATAGTCTTGTAACATCATAGTCTTTATTTCCACATAGCAGAGATTCTTGACATTTTCTTATTTAACAATATATCAGTTCTACAAACGGAGGCGAGATTAAAATATCTTGGTCTTCACCATATGCAACCTTCACAAAAGAGTCCAGCCTTTTCCTTTATTCCCTTGACTTCTCAATCAGTAAAGGAACAACCAAAAGAGAAAGTTGCCTCCTGCCTAATCCCCTCAAGAAAAACTTAGTCCATACTCTACACAGAGTATGAGAAGAAAAACTCTACATGGCTTTCTAAAGAAATGTTCTGCTCAGAAGGCAAGTCTGCAACTTCTGTATCACCAAAACAGCAGGACAAGTACTTATTGAAGCAACCTGAGCATTTTCTTCTAGTAGGATTGATGGCAGATTTAGTTTGCTCTTCTCACAATAGTTAGCTGCCAAGACCTAGACCAGGAACATGAGTGAGGTCCTTATTGCTGGATATTGAAGATTTTGGTCAACAGAGATTTGTTTGACTGAGATTTCTGCTGAATCTCAGCAGAGCGGGCTAGCTGTTGCTTGAGGCGTTTCTTTCCTTTGCTTGTCTGAATTTCATCCTCAGTACAGCGCTGAACGAAGCCCCAGCTCTTCTCCGCGTGTTCTCTCTGACTGTCCTTCTTCAAAAAGTGCTTGCTCTTCTCCACATTCTGCAGGTAGAAATTAGTCTCTCGTTTGGCTTGGGAAACTTCAGCCCGCATGCGTTGCTGCCGCACTTGCCTTTCATATGCAAGCTGCTCACTCAAATGAGTCCATTTGAAGCGGTTCAAATACTAAAGAAGATATGAAAACTAGTTAATGGATCATAAGATTATCATACCTGCATACTGTATAACAACTCATAGTTGAGAAGATGTAACCTCAGTGTAAATAGTTTCCATATTGTCTGAAGCTACTCTATCCCCACATTAACATATGGCCTGGAAAAAGTTCTAATATCCTTAGAACTGGTTAAAATCTGTAATAAAGAATCTGGTAGTAGAAGTTCAGTGACAAATGTAGGACCAGTCGCAACCCTCAATCTAACCAGAGAAGCTCACTGCAAGCACTTGTCTTGATACGAGACTGAGCTATCTGTCACATTCCCAGATGAAGAGAGAGAGAGAAAAAAGAAACCATTCAGTGTACTATAAACATGTGATCTGAAATTAATCATCTTCATATAATTTCATCCCTTGACCTATTTTAAAGATACAGAGTTCATGTACTTGAACACTAGCAATCCGTTAAAGAATCGAGAAGAGGTATGAGTGCCTCTTCAAGAAATACATTTATTCCAAAATGTCCTCTATTTATCAAGTGCCACATACGCATAGGGATTCAGTACATCGTTTATAGCAAGTAAAATATTATATCACAGATTAATTTTTAAAATTAGGGCTGTCATGTCCTATATAAAAATTGTTTTGAGCATGTACACTGGCTTATGGGGTGCTGTTTGACCATCACTTGCTTCAACCCATTGCATCTTAAGTAAGGACACTATAAGAAAACATAGATATAGGACATATAAAATTGATTTAATCCTTTCAGTGTCTCTATATATGGCCGAACTATCTTGTCAATTCAAATAGAAGTTTAGCAAAGCAACTTATCTTGTATCAAATTTCATGAACAGAAGTTGGAAATGCAGGAGAAACAGCACTTTCACAACTTCAAGTCAGAATCAGTCTATCCAGAAGGTCATTGACCATTAATTTTTGATTTCTTTGAAGAACCAACAAAAAAACAGATTGAGTTGTTCTCAACAACAATTGGATTATGAATAGATAACAGAGTACTCAGTCCCAGATAACACACCTTTATATTCCACAGGTCATAATGGAATTTGCTTTTCTTACGAACACCGATAGGAGTATTGTGTAAACTAGCAGCTACCAACTTTGCCACACGCTTATCTCGGAATTCTACCCAACCTTCTGTGAAATTTTTGGCATTACTACCAGCCGCCTTCTTTTTCTTTCGGATAAATCGCTCTGGGGAATGCAAAAAGAAAAAGAGTCATAAACTGTACAGACTTTGAATTAGGGTAGCTTAGTCGTGTATACCTTAAGCCTTAAACCAACTTACCCAAGTGTAAAATGTAACCATTAACAATTGTCAAGCGCCAGGCAAATCAGGAGACTTAGGCAGTTCAAATGAGTATAAAGATTTATTGCAAGCTTAAGCTCTCTACAATAATCTGACCAACTGGCAATTAAGGGAAATGAGCGGGAGATAAGAGAGGCATTCAAGTTGGGCTGGACTTAGATCTCTTGCGGGCACATAGGGAGTCATGACTATAATTTCCTTTTGAGATGATAAAATCTGCATCACATTTCAAATAAAAGTCCACCCATCTGAAGATAGCTTCCATCTGAAAACCATGCCTCTCACATTAAGGACAAGTGTAATGAAAAATGATATTCAATGCTAGCCCAGTCTTTTACACTGGAAGGTGCATTAACTTTATTTAGTATTCTCTTTTCTGCATACTTAGAACTGCTTACTATCTCTAATGCACCATACAACCTCACCTTCAGGCTGCAAGAAAATACGTCCTATTTCACCATGAACGCAGAGGAGGTTTCGCACATGCCGAGGCCGGAAGCGTGGAGGGATATGACCAAGATAAACTATGCCAGGCACAAACTTTTTGACATCATTTTGATTGGAGGAATCCACCTGAGAATCTTCTTCTGTTTCTTTATCTTCTGAAACTGTCTCTACTTCTTCCTCTTCGGTGTTCATTACTGTGTCTTCAATCATCGATGTCAGTTGCAGTTTTCCTGCACCTTCATCATCCATCTGGTTTTTATTCTTAGTTATTATTGGGCAATATACGGATATAACTGAAAAACTGTTTTCTTTCTATAATACAAAAACAGAATACAGTAATGAAAATTTAGGACGAAACTGCTTTCTGTCATACCGACACCCAATATTTTTCCACATTCTCCAAATGATGATATAAAATCAATTATCTGAAATTTATATTGTTATTTCTCCAAAAGTCCATAATGTCTTGCCACGCTAGCTCAACCAGCACACTTTCCTTCTGACCCCGATAAAAGGAAAATTGGCATCTGACACGTTTGCACCATAGAGCCAGCAACTATTGGCCAGTACACTGGGGCTTTTAATGGTGTTGTATTTGATTAACTTTTTATTTAGATTTACCTGGCTGCCCTTTTCATAGACATGCTCCTTTCTAATCTTAGCTTTGATGGTTTTAATTATACAAGTTTTTAATGTTTGTCTCTTTTTCAAAAATATTGTGACTGTACGTGAGATGGGGAGCTATATACAATAATTTTGACTGACTGACACATGAATAAATACATTTATGGAGGCCAGAGTAGAACTTGAAAAAAAAGGAGTCATGATATAAGAGAATAAAGGATAAAGAAAATAAAATATAAATGCATTTATAACGGCTGTAAAGAAAATTGGAAGCCATTTTATATCTTCCCCCCCTTCATCTCATTTCCCCCCCTTAAAATGTGTATTGTTTTTTACTCTGTAAAACAACTTCTATAAAAAATAATTTAAACGTAAATCAATATATAATAAGTAAGACTCTGGAAGGCTTACAATTAAAATGAGAACATCGGGTTCTTCCTAACCCCGTACTAATCTAGCTTTGAATTACTGCTAGATTCTATCCTTCCTTACTACTTCTTATCCCAAAGATGCTTTTTCAAAAGGCAACTGGACTTTGTTTTTTCTTGAAGACGTCTCGCTTCTCATCCAGCTTCTTCAGATGAAGAACTTAAAAAGCTGCTCGGATGAGAGGCGAGACGTCTTCAAGGAAAAAGTCCAGTTGCCTTTTGAAAAAGTACCTTTAGGACAACCCTGACCTGGATGACTGAGAATCTCCATACACGTTTACTACCTTTTAATTCCTCCAAGGCGTTCCTTTTATTTCGCGTCCTTCTCAAATGTGCTCCCCGTAAGTTGAGCGACGCCTTCATTAACGGCATTGTCGCAAAGGGAAGCGAGCATTTCCCCCCATAGAGCTAAAACGGAGGGAGAACTGATACCGAGCCAGTGTTAACGAAGGGTAACCATAGAACTTTTACCTCTTCATCAAAAGTCTACGGTCACTAAACCCGAGGGTAGGGAAGCGATGTTTTTTGTGACGAGAGATCGATGGAAAAGGAGGCGGAGCTTGAACAGCTTCGACCAATGAAGACGTAGAGGAGATGGAACGAGGCTGAGATCGTGGAATGTCAAAGCAGCCAATCGCAGGCCGGCCAATCAAGTGTGGGAGGATTCGTTTGCTGGTTTTACCTGTTGGAACGTTTCGTTTGGGCGCGCGGATTAAAATCTCACCTGGGCCCTTACAAGAAAATGTTGTCGCGGCAAAACGAAGGGTAAAGAGGGACTTGTCTGCCTCCATCCCCTCCACCCCCTTTACAGATGTTGAACATGAACTCTTGCAGTTCTCAGCTAGAATGATTTTTGGCTATGCAGCTGTAGTCTGATGGAATAGAATAGAGCTGCAAGGAACCTTGGAGGTCTTCTAGTCCAGCCCCGTGCTCAAGCAGAACTTATACCATCTCAGACAAGTGACTGTCTAGCCTCTTCTTAAAAATCTCCAGTGATAGAGCACCCACGATTTCTGGAGGCAAGCTGTTCCACTGGTTAATTGTCCTCATTGTCAGGAAGTTTCTCCTTAATTCCGGGTTGCTTCTCTCTTTAATCAGTTTCCAACCATTGTTTCTTGTCCTGCCCTCTGGTGCTTTGGTGAATAACATGACTCCCTCTTCTTTGTGGCAGCCCCTCAAATACTGGAATATTGCTATCATGTCTCCCCTATTTCTTCTTTTCTTTAGACTGGCCAAACCCAAGTCCTGCAGCCATTCTTTGTATGTTTTAGTCTCCAGGTCTTTGATCATCTTAGTTGCTCTTCTCTGAATTTTTTCCAGACTCTCAACATCTTTTTTGTGATAGGGTGACCAAAATTGGCTGCAGTATTCCAGGTGTGGTCTTACTAGGGTTTTATAAAGCGGTACTAATACTTTGCGTGATCTTGATTCTATGCTTCTGTTTATACAACCCAGGATTGTATTAGCTTTTTTGGCTGCTGCTGCACACTGCTGGCTCATAGTCAAGTGATCATCCACCAGGACTCCAAGGTCCCTCTCACATTTACTGTTTTTAAGCCAGATCTCGTCTAATCTGTACTTGTACCTTTGATTTTTCCTGCCTAAATGTAAGACTTTTCTCCACATTGAAACTCATTTTGTTGGATAGGGCCCATTGTTCAAGTTTGTCAAGATCTTTTTGGAGCCTGAGTTTGTCTTCTGGGATTTTGGCTACTCCTGCCAGTTTGGTGTCATCTGCAAATTTGATGAGTTCCCCTTCAATTCCCTCATCTAAGTCATTTATGAAGATATTGAAGAGTACTGGGCCTAAGACAGAACCTTGTGGTACCCCACTGCTTACTTCTCTCCATGTGGATGTAGTACCATTGAGGACTATTGGTTGAGTATGGTTTGCCAGCCAGCTACAGATATATTTGGTGGTGATGTTGTCTATTCCATCTTTTTCTAGCTTACCAAGGAGTAGGTTGTGGTCTACTTTATCAAATGCTTACTGGAGTCAACAAATCTGGAAAGAATTGATCCCACACTTAAGATTGTCATCTTTTTTTAACCTTTTACTATGTTTCTAGATCAAATGTGCATCATTGTTAAAATTCAATGTATTGGCCAGAAGTGCATGATAGATTGTGCCTTTTATACTTTGACACTGCAGAAGGGAAAACAGTAAGAATAAGGCAATGTAAAAGAAATCACAGTACAGCTTATATTTATTGTGCAAATCTCATACAGTATTCTCTTATCTTTTATTCAAATAGACAAGGCACCTTAAAACAACATTCTTCTGGCATTTACCGATGAGTCTTAATCAGTTACTTTCCCTCAATGTCTGCTAAGGAATGGTTATGAATCAGCAGAAAGTGACAGTGTGGATGAGGATTATACAGAGTTTAGTCACCATCATCATTATTTAAATATTAGACACTTCTGTATTTTATTGATACATCTCGATATTTTACAAATGGGAAAACTTGTATACTGTAACATCTTTAATATGCTTGCCTGTCTGGCCCTTGTAAAGCACATTGCTATATGTTCTCTATTTCCCTTGAACTGCATTAATTTAATGTATGTTTTGATCTGATTTTGAAATTGTTCTGGTCTGATTTGGAAATTGAGACTATTCATTTGAGGAAAGATAAACAGATAAGAAAACCTATAACTGTCATGTTAGTAGTCGTAAATGAATCAAACATGTATTATCAGTCTGTTTTCTGATACCATCAGATAGCCTATGAATATTTTAGATATATCGTGGCTTATCTCAGCACACTTTATCACTAGCTACAATGATTGGCCCTGTTACATATTGTCATTCAACATTTGGAGGGCTACAGATTTTTTATACTTCAATCTGTAATAGATTTGGTAATAAAGATTATAGAAAAATACTGACTAACTTGCTGCAATAAGGCAATTAGGCTGTTTGTTTAGCAATATATATATTACCAAAATATACCCGACTAATAAAATTTTGTGTAATAAGCCTGCTCCATCAAATGAATTGAGTAAATGCTTGCTACAAAGATTTTATAAGTATGTTGATTTGTAGGGGACATGGGAAAAGAGACAGAAAGGAAAAGGCAGGATTGTTTTGGAATGTAGACATCAGAGCAACAAAATAAGATAAGCAGTGGTCAGTGGTGGGATTCAGCCAGTTAGCACCACTTCAGCAGAACCGGTAGCTAATTTTTTTGTTGCCCAGGCCCAGAATGGACTTCCGGAAGCGACATCCACACAGAGAACCGGTTGTTCACATATTTGAATCCCATCACTGGCAGTGGTCATTAATCAAATACAAACAAATGCCATTGCCAGACTGATACAACAAAATCAACAACTTACAGTCCACTCCAAAACCTGCAACACCCTTTTAAAATGAAATTTGTAGACTTGAAAATAGGAATATCATAGCTGTAATGTGGAATGATAGAAAATAGAAGCTAGGGAAAATACAGGATGTTTTGGAAACTATAAAATATACTATTTGTGAAAGTCAGAACATTTGACAAGTAATGATGTAATATTTAATATTAGATGATTTATCAATTGTACCATACAGGACATTTTGGTTCATATTCAAACTTGTTGCTCAAGGTGTATAAAATAAGGCAATTAGTCTCTGTGGAGTACTATGTGAAAGCTATAGGTGGCAGTAAAAGAAATATTATTGAAGGAGTCTCTTGTGGATCTGAAGGAGTCAGTTCTGGAATGTTCACCACAGTCGACTAGGGAATCTGTTGTTTGGGGATGAATATTATAGTTGGGGAAATGCCTTTAAAATCCCTAATTCCTGTTTCTTCATCATTTTGTCAGGTAGCTTTAGTGGTTCAGGTGCTGGCCTAGAAACCAGGAGACTGTGATTTCTAGTCCTGCCTTAGGCATGAAAGCCAGCTGGATGGCTTTGGCCCAGTCACTCTCTTTCAGCTCAGTCCACCTTCCAGAGTTGTTATTGTGGGGAGAATAGGAGGAGGAAGGCATATTAGATATATGTTTGTGCTTTGAATTATTTACAAAGTCATAAAGGAATAAAAATCAGATCAATATATAAAAATTGATTAGATGTAGATACAGTATTATCTGTGAGTGCATATGATAGATAATATCATAGGACCTGGTTATATGCAATAGATTTTGTGGCACCTTCTCGATAGAAACTGGAGGTATGTAAATATAGGGATCAAGCAGTTGATTTCCTTTACAAAATACTGGTACTAATTCATTGTTCATCACAATAATTTCAGAAAATGTATTTGGCTTCCTTGTGCCTTTCATTTATTTTTTTTACTAATAAAATTGAAAGCTGCTGAACTTTTAAGGAATGTGGCACAGTATTTGTTCATTTTTGTATATTTAGGAGAATCGAGCATACAATATAATTAAGGCTGAAAACAGAATAAATCAGTAACATTGTACTAAAATAAAACTACTGTATATCTGCTGAGGTTTTGTTCTCCACTGTATTTATTGATGCAGAAAATTCCAGGGAAAAAGAGGATAAACACAGGGAAGTGGAGAGGTAAGGCTCTAAGAATATACAATTTGTCACACGCAATGTTGATTAATCATTTTCATTTTTTAAATTTTACTTATCCCTATCAGAAGTTTCTACATCTTGTTATTTTTTCATTCATTTCTGAAAACTGAAGTTTTGCTTATAAAGAGAAGGTTCTCATTCCCTTCAGATTACTTTCCTGATTTGAAATGAATATTTCCAACATTGACTAATTTCTTTCATATCCTAACCATCTTGTGTATTATTTTAAAATATTTTAAAATATTTCATTATCTTTTTTTCTTCTTGAGGAAGAAACCAAGAGGAAAAGAAAATAAATATTTTTTCCCCAAAGCAGGAATGGGAAGCACTCTTTTGAGTCTTTCAGTGACTTTGCCACTTATCTGCAGATATATATTTTCACTCCAAATCTGAAATAATAGTGACAGAACTTGATAATTCTCTTGTCTAAGAGTGTTATAAAGAACAATATTCTTGATGTATTGTAATCTGTTATCACCTGGGATGTTAGTATTAAGAGCTTCAATATCTACAGTGGCTGGAAGTGTTTTTCCTGGGAAGTTATCTATGCTTTGTGGTTTTCTCAGGAACTAATGTGTAATTTGGATTAGTAGTGCACCTGGTCTGAGGATTGAGTCCATAAAGCCGAATATCCCACTGTAATTGTGTCAATTCCAAGAACAGTGGGGTATCCCTTACAAATGTGGCTATTTCCCACTATTCATTTAAACTACTATTTATCCCTTCATGGGCTCCTGCACACAATTCATTTAATGTGCTGTCCCTCAGTCTTTGAGCTGGCAGAAGGTTATTCTGGCACATATACAGATATAAAAAGTCTACATACCCC